CCCCAAAACCCCAAAACCCCAAAACCCCAAAACCCCTAACTATCTTCTTATTATTGAAAATTGGTATAAACTAGTAAAAATAGTGCAACAATAAAAGAAATTTAACATAATTATCTCTTACATCGTTACAGTTAAATGAAAATTAAGACTGATTTTGCAATAAATTTTTCTTTAAAGATTTAATATCAAATAACTAAAGCCTGACTATTATCATTTCTAAAGCTAAAGCATGTATGCTAGCTTTCTTATCATGTATAATATTCAGATTTTTACTTAACTACCAAATAATAAAATTTAGAGTCTCCTTTCATACAAAAAGTTGAAATTATTACATCAAGCTGTTTAGATTATCCATATCTTTTTCTTGAGGAATATTGTACAGATCTTTGATGTATTCCATCAAAAATACACTACCTCAATGCAACAAAATAGCATTTTGATTTTTTGATTGACTGATTTGCTCTAGAACAGATCTGGTATTCTTTTCTAAGTCTCCATGGCTATATAACTCTGTAATTTTCCCAGAATTAGGAGACTGTGATGAGTTTACTTCAGAGATATATTTCCTCGCATTATCCTCTTTGATTAGTTTGAAATGTTTGATGATCACCACCTTAACTACCTTTGTTTCTCATCTTAATGTTTCCAAAGATTGTGCAATTTCTTTTCCTTCACTAAAAGTGCAAATAACATAAATTTGCAAAGGCTTTGAGTCTTTATGAATTGAATTTACTGTGCTAATAAGACTCTTTAAAGCAGGAGAGTTATGTGCAACATCCATGTATGCAGCTTTTGGATAACAATCTAACCCTGGAGCAAATTCTTTTATTTTCTCTGATGGGATTAAATCCATTCTACATTCTTGAGTTACATCTAAAGCTTCTTCTATTTCTTCCTCATTCAAATCATGAGGGATTTCTTTTTCAGTTTCAATTATTTCTTTGTATAAAGCATATGCAATACTTTTATTCATTTCAACAAAATTTTGAGTGTCACTGTCTACCACAACAAGCTTTGAGTTGTGAACTTTACAAATTGGTTCGACAACATTTAGTGGGATAGTAGGACCAACAATTAGAGGTATATCTTGTCTAATGATTCCTGCTTTATTCCTTCAAATGTGCATTTCAGTGGGCCCTAAAGATTCTCTATGATCAAATCCAACCGAAGTGATTGCTGCAAAATCAGAATCAACTACATTAGTTGAAGATGCCAGTCCTCCAATGCCACATTCAAGCACGATATAGTCTCACCTTTGTTGTTGGAAGTACAATAAAGCCATTGATAGCATCATCTGGAAGAACCCAAATGTTAATTCTGCCTTTTGCTCAAAATCCTTACAGATATCAAAGTACTTGACAAACTCTTCTTTAGACATCAACTGACGATTGACTCTAATCCTTTCTCTCACTCAAGACACATGTGGTGAAGTAAAAAGTCCAGTCTTGAAACCAGATTTCTCAAGAAGAGCTGCTGTCTTGAAAGATACTGAACCTTTACCGTTAAGTGCCAGCCACATGAACTATTTTATAATCCTTCTGAGGATTTTCATAATCCCAGAGGAAGTATCTGACAGCATGAGGGCAGAAAGTAGGAAGAGTGCTAGGCTTCCTTCTAAAAGCCTCTCCTACCTTCTTACAGAACATCTTCTCAAACGGGTTCATTTATGGCTCTGATTTTTAATATAATTCTATTTTCCAAAATATGTTGGGGTTTTGGGGTTTTGGGGTTTTGGGGTTTTGGGG